AAGCCATCTACAACCCAAACAGAGCAACACCCAGGCATATAATAATTAAAATTCCAGAAATTCAATACAAGAACAGAATATTAAAAGCTGTCAGAGACAAGAAACAGACCACTTACAAGGGAACACCCACCAGAATTACAGCAGATTTCTCTGCACAAACCATCAAATCACGAAGAGTGTGGGGGGAAATAATTCAAGCTTTGAAAGATAATAATCTCCAGCCAAGATTGAGATATCCTGCACAACTGTCCCTGGAAATTGATGGAAAAACAAGGTGCTTCCAGGATAAAGAGGAACTGGGGGAATTTGCAACCACCAATTCAACTCTACAGAAAGTAGCGCAGGATATTCTAAAAAAAGAAAAATACAAAGAACCCAGAAATAGTGGCAGGGAAGCCACAATGAATGGAGCAGAGAGCAAAATGAAGAAGACAAACTGACAGCTACTGACAGAAAAAGAGCTCAACAGAAATGAGGCAGAGAAGATTGGATGATAGGAACAGCTATTTTGGAGAAAATGACATCTTAATAGGTAATACTGATTTAGTATCATCTTGTTTTGAAGTCTCATCTAGCTTTTGTTCTTCTGTCTCCAATGGTCTAAATAGGTTGTATCTCATTGGATTTTATTATGTACGATAGTATAAGCAAAAACCTTTTAAAGACAAAGATATTATACAGAAACCATTGTTCATTTTCTGTTAGTAGATTCTAAATACTCTGTAATGCTGTCATTCTCTTAAATGGTTTTACATTGTTTTGATATACTTAATGCTACAGTATACAAAGTTGTACTCAAGGATTTCAAGGAAAGAGTCAATATGGTAACTACTTTTGGCTCGGGATTATCTGGTGGTGAAACACTATTTTGCTTAAATATGTTGTTTTGATCTGCGCTGTTTTGCTTTTATGCCCTCTTTTATCTCAATCTCCACTCCATTATTTACTTTTTTCTTTTTATCCGTTTAATTAAAGGAAAAAAAATAGCAGGATATATTATAGTAACCCACTTTGACTTTCTATTATCTCGATTTGAAGCCCTGTATTACTCTCACCATCTTGTTTTTGACTGATGTTCCCCTATTCTGTTTTGCTGGATAGTATCAGTTTCAAAAGTTTAGGCATCAGCTGTGAAGATAATGAGATTCAGTATAATGCCCATTCTCGTTGACTTTTATCTACTTTTGAAGACCTACAATGTCTCCAATGTTTTGGTTTTGTCGGTTTTGTTCTTTACTGTTTTGTTCAATTGTATTATAACTAATGATATAGGCAATTCTATTAGAGATAGCGGGAGGCATTATGGTAAACATGTTGACCACCTTGTATTATGTTTTTACATTATGTATTATGTCCACCCTTTTGACTTGACCGATTCTTTTCTGTTATGTCACATTTGGTTTTACTCTCTTCCAAAAAAGCAATAAGAACCGTGGGAGCAATGAAACCCAAAATGTGTAATAGTCATTGTACAAAAGAGAGGAAAAGAAAGTGCTCTAAACTATATAACTGCATGTATATTTAAGTGTATAAGATAGAAAATGATATCACAGAGTTTTATTGGATCATTGAACAGAACTGTTTGCAGTATCATTGTTGGAATGTCCACTCTACAAGCTTTAATTTTGTGACTTGAACAATTATTTCTAAGATGGCAATATGTAATCCATTAACTAGTGATTTCCTACTGTTCATTTTTTTTTCTGTAAATCTGTATAACTTGTACCCTTTCACTGTTTTTTTTTCTTTTCTCCTTAAATAAAATTTTTTAAAAAATTAAAAAAAAAAAAGACACAGTGAGACCCTGCCTCAAAATAAAACATATAAAAAGGTAGGCTGTAGCACCGTGCACAGGCCGTGGGTTCAAACCCCAGTTAACCCTCACCTTACACAGATTAGCAACTGATAAAATCCCTGAAAGTTAGTTTGCTTTTTATTACTATAAACTGACTTATTGTAGGCAAAGCCAAAGCAAAACTTCTATGAATATACATCTCTTCTCTCTAAGAGAATGCACAACAGGCTAGCTGGCAGCACTCCTAGCGTTGCAGGGATGTCCAAGGTCACATGCCCTAGAAGTCCACAGAGCACGCAGGGTCTCCTAGGCTATGAAGCTATGAAGCTGAATGGTAAGGAGTGGGCAGCGACACAGACAACACATGCCTTGGCTTTCCAGAAGGACTGAGGACAGATAGGAACAAATATATTCTCCCTGTGCTAATCCCTCCAGGAGCCTACAGTGAACTCAAACAGATGAGGTGCCTAGCAGATAAACTGGGGCAGTTGGTCTCGAGCCATCCTATGATGATGTAACAGACATGATACAGAACACTGGGGTGCAGTAATGGATGTGCTCAACTTCACAGCACCAAGAATGTCAATGAAAGTACTTGTAAGTCTAGTCTGGTATGGTGGCACATTCCCTGGAATTCCAGCACTCAGGAGGCTGAGGCAGGAAGACTGCTGCCAGTTTGGGGCCAATCTGGGCTACATGATGAGTTCAAATTAGCCTGAACTACATAACCAGACCCTGTGTCAAAAACAAATAAAGCCAACCAATTCACCCAGATGTAGTGGAGCATGCCTGTAATATTGGCATGTGGGAGGCTGAGGCAGAAATATCACTGCAAGTTCAAGGTCAGCCTAGGCTACACACGGAGTTCAAAGTCAGTCTGAACTACATAGTGAGACCCTGTCTCAAAAAACAAAACAGAAATAGGGGCTGGGGATTTAGCTCAGCGGCATAAGCACCTGCCTTGCAAACAGACAGTCGTGAGTTCGATCCCGGGTACCGATAAAAAGGAAAAAGACAAAAAACAAAAAACAAAAACCCCAGAAATAGCAAAAAAGAAAAAGAAAAGAAAGTTGTGTCCTATGCATACTGCATCTTCCTGTCAATGGTGACATTTTATAAAACTACAGAATAAAGCTGCAAGGTGGATATGAACACTGATACAACCCGACAAGTTAACTCAGTTTCACACACACTCATCTGCATTTTCAGTTCTGTGCCACTTAATCTGTACCTCGATAAGCAATTTACAGACATATACACTTGGAAGCCAGGAGGTGGCTCATACCTGTAATCCAGGGGCACTCACAGAGCCTGAGGTCTGAGAATCGCCAGTTCGAGTCCCACCTGGGTAACTTAAAAAGGGCTAGGCCATAGTTTAGTGGTAGAGCCCCGTTGAGTTCCACCCCAGCTTTGGGGCTAGAGAAGGAGATATCCTTGCAGTTAATTCTGACAGGCACACTCTTGAGTTTCCATTTAAAAAGAAAAACCTTGCCTCATTGTAACTAGAGGCACTCTGAAGACCTGAGGCTTGCAAGTTATGTGGGGCAGTACCCTCGACAGTGATAGCTGCCTGTGGGTTTGGAGTTCAGTTGGTTGAGACACAGGACACCAGTCCACAATGCAGATCCCAGGCGCACCCAGCCTTGTGGCACCCTATTGGCCCAAGGCTCTGAGCTTGACCTGGTCATCAACTCCCAGAAGTGTCACCTGCCAAAGGACCTGGTCAGTGGACACAGGTGCTCAGTGGAGTCCAGCCACATGAACCTCAATGGAAACAATTTTTGCAAAGTACACAAATAACTACTGATTTTCTTTCTCCATCTTTTGGTGCTGAGTGTTGCAACTGTGGCCTTCACACTTTGCTACTTCCCCAATTCCTTTTTATTTTCAGTGTTGCTAAGTCCCTAAATTGCACAGGTTGGTTTTGAAGTTGAGTTTCTCCTGCCTCAGTCTCCCAGGAAGCTGGGATTAGAGCAGTGTGACATCATGCCCAGTTTGACGCAGATGTTTCCAATGCAGTCTGGAGTTTTACCTAACCTCAATACTTTCATCAATTACAGGCCATCTTTGTACAGGGCGCAAATGTGAGCCAGGCACAAGGATTTCGTGGCACAGTTCCATAAAAGGGAAGAAAGAGCAAGGTCCCAAAGAAAGGCTTGCAGCACTGTGACAACAAGGAGAATGGACCAGGTGCTATTCAGGACGCAAGCTGGCACCAAGACAGGGAATGTGTGGGAGGGTGTGGGGGCCCCTTTAGGAACAGGTCGGGGGTCCCTCCCGGCCCAGGCTTTGAAAGCAGCCCCCGCACTGTGAGCACTTTGGGACGAGCCGCGTCAGTGCAGGTGTGCGCCCACTGCGCTCTGGCCCACTGTCTTTGGCTCCCGGGGTGGGACGCAGGCGGTGGCCCCTCCAAAGAGCTTCCGCCCTCACCTGGCAGCTGCTCGCCTCCGCGGCAGGCGGGGACAAAGGCGAACGTCCGCGCCCCTCCCGAAGAAGGCACTGGGGACTCCTAGTGGCCGCCACCGAGTGCACACCCTGCTCCACGCTGCCGCTTCCGCCGCTCACCTGTTGCGCCCCGGCCTCTGGACGTCGCCACCCTCGCCCTCCCTGGGCCCTCAGGTGGCGCTGGTCACGCAGCGCGCTCTCCACGTCCCCAGCTACGCCAATCGGCTCTTCTCCACGCGGCCCCAGTTCGGAGTCGGCGCTGAATCTTCAGTGCACATCGGGCTACCGCCCCGGGCCTTAACCTCCACCCCGGCAGGACCCGGAATGGCCCCCCACGTGCGGGCCGCTACCCAACCGGGGCGGGATCCCGGATCGCGCGTCCCCGGGTGCAGGCCGCTATCTTCCATCCGGGCGGGACCCCGGATCTTGCGCCCCCGGGTTCAGACCCTTTTCTCCCAGCCTCGGGGAGACCCGTACCCTCCAAGTAGGCCGGGACCCGGGATCGGCCGCCTGTGTTTGGAGTCCCGGCTTCCTCGCCACAGGCGGAGTGCGCAAGTCCGGCTTTAGCTCTGCCCGCTAACCTCCAGCAGGAGCAGAAGACGAGAGCGCACCCCTCTCTTAGCCCCGGGCCCCGCCCCCACTTCTAGCACAGGCCGGAGGCCCCCCCCCCAGCGCGCCCCGCCCCCCGGCCTGCGGTGTTGCAAGCGGTCGGAGCGCGCGGGCCCCGCCCCTCTCCACCTCCCCTCTCCGCCATCTCCTCCCCACCGCCTGCGTGCCCTCCTCCCAGCTCCCTCCCTGCCCGGCAGGCTTTCATCCCGAAGTTGCGGCGCAAGTTCGCGGTGGCTGGTGGCGGGCGGCGGCGGCTAGGGCGCTCGCAGCCTCTCTTGCCGTTGACTGGCCGGGGCTTGCCAAGTGCATGGGCGCGCGTTGCTGCGGTCCTCGCCATGGAGGTCCTGACGGAGGCCGAGGCGCGGGCGAGCCGCGGCGGGCGACTGGTGGAGGTACAGCTGAGCGGCGGCGCTCCCTGGGGCTTCACTGTGAAGGGCGGTCGCGAGCACGGCGAGCCGCTGGTCATCACCAAGGTGAGGCGGCCGCGCGCCGGGGGCTGCGTGCGCGTGGGGTGTTCCAGTTGTGCGGTTGCGGGAGTCACCTGTGGGGACCTGCGCTCCAGGCCTGCGGAGATGTGTGGTTCCGGCGCCGATGGGCGTCCAGTGGCTCCTGTTCCAGGTCCCCTTCCCTTCCTCCTCCGCAAAAGGGCCGTGGCTGGGTCCCCTGTAACTCCAGCTACGGCGGTGATCCGCACCTGTGGGGCTTCCCCCAAGTGCTAGGAGGAAGACGGGCTGGTTGGAGCAGCCCTCAACTGTGTGGGCCTCGCCAAGGTCCCCGGCTTGGGACCTGCACCCGTTATCGCTAAGGAGAGACCCAGCCGGGCAGCTGCCGCGGATCCGGCTTCTCGATTCCCATCAGCCATCAATATTTACTGACTTTCTGCTGCCAGCCCTACGTCCTCGTGCACCGCCTACCTGCAGGAACTTAGAGAAACTTTGCAGTAACTGTAGGACTTGCTGTAACTGTAGAACTTGGATTCCCATAATAAGAATTCCTCCTGCGTCTTTAACTGCAGTGTCTGTGTGTGTGGGAGGGAGGTTGCTTCCGAACTTTGAATTCTCCAGGCTCAAAACCAAGTTAAGTCTTGAAATGTACCACCGGTGTCTGTAGGAACCTGGAAAAAGAAACCGACCAACCAACCCCTGTGTTTTCTTCTAGTGGAAAGTGCCCACGGGTCAGTTACTTTGGGAAAGGCCGAGCCAGGCCAGTCAGACGGACAAAGTTCCTTTTAAAATGTAAATGTTCTTGGCTGCTGGAAGCGTTTGAAGGTGACTTACAGGTTTTTCTACTTTCCTCCCCCACTACAGCCAAAGAAATCCAGTGACTCCTAACCTCATGAGATAACCAAGCTTCTTTCCCCCTCGCTGGACTCTCAGTCTGTGTCACAGATTGGGCCCAGAGTCTCAGGCCGAGTGCTGTACTTCAGCCCTTTCTTCTCTTGTGTATTTGCAAACTAGAAACTTTGATAGGAGTCTTTAGCTGTGCACTGAATTCATACTGAACTCAGGAAGAAGCTTTTGGTAGTTAAGAATTTAACTGGGCAATCCTTTAGTGTTTCTTTTTCTTTAACTTTTTTTTTTTTCTGGTGTAATAGTGAGGATTAAATTCAACACTTTTGCCCTGAGTTACATCCTTATAGCCCTCTTTATAAATTTTTAAATTTTTTTTTTAAATTTCCTGACCAGGTCTCCATAAGCTGCTATGTAGAGCCTAGGCTGAACTGGAACTTGTGATCCTCCTGCTTGTATTACCACTATGCATCACCAGGTCCCACTCAACTTTTTTTTTTTTTTAAGCTATTTATTCAATGCCACATGTCTTCCTTGTCTTTATAGCCAGTGAGTCAGTTGTAAAACGTTATTTAACATGAAATGTCTTGCATTTTGGCCTTTCATAGTATAAGACACTTGGAGTTCTCTTTAACTGAGAGTAGTTTCATGAGAAGTTGAGGGAGGGTCTGCAGAGCCCCTCCTCCTTCCTACCCTGCCCCCTGCCTTCTCAGTGTTCTCCTGTGCCTTCTAGAAATTGAAGGGGCTGCTCAGACCCAGTGGGCCCTGCTTCATTTATTTGTGAGTCCAATCTGACTGGAATGTTGGGATCTTATTGTTTAAGATGGAAGAGATTTGGAACAGACTTTGTTTTTTCTGTGTGAATAATCAGCTTCTGTACAGTGTCAGCAGTATTTCTTGGGCCTCTTAATCGGAGCAAGATCATCCATGATGTTTGTCTACAGCCCGACAGCTAGCAACTAGCTGTCCCACAACTTACAAAGGGCAAAAGGAAGTGTGTCCACTGGTGACCACTTAAAAAGTGGAAATGGGCCATTTGTGGTGGACCAGGGGAAAAATTCTACAACCAGAATTACATTAATCTGGGACTCCAGTCCTTCTTCCTCTTGCAGAAGTTGCTGAATAGTTCACTGGAGCTCATTAAATAATCATTATTCTTGATACGATTATTTCCAAAAGATGAAAAGTATTTCCAAAAGATGAGAAGTATAAAACAAAAAGAGGTCTTTATTCTAAGAATAACTGGCACCCCGGCCATTGAAGTCTGGTGATCTCTCTCGTGGACAAGTGGTGGTGGAGGAGGGGTATAAGTAGCCTAAACTTAGGGTAGAGCCCTAAGGCCATTAGAGATGCACAGGTATTTCATTGGCACACGTTTGGCGCCAGGGGCAGATTCTGAAGGGTGGGGAGAGATAGAGTTACAGGTAAATCTCTAGGTGCGGGGAAGACAGGAGCTCCCTGATTCAGGCTGAGGTCTTTCTGGCTACAGTGTCCCATCTGGGCCAAAACCCTTTCAATTCTAATAGTTCTTTTGCACTTTAAAAAAAAAACCTTTTGTAGTCAGTTACCTATTACAGTCATCACATATCGCATGAGATTTTCTGTTTAACAGACTCTGATTTGGAGGTAGCTTGATCCAAATAGAAAAAAGCTCATATTATTTTCATGAGGATATGTGTGAGTCCTCATGGGAGTGCAAAACTTGTGCAGCGGTGGCCCTGTCTGTAATCCCAGCTAACCAGGAGGCTGAGACAGGAGGATCACAAGCTTGAGGCCAGCCTGGGCAATTTAGCCACTTCGCAAGATCCTATATCAAAATAAAATTTTTGGGCTGGGAATTTAGCTCAGCGGCATAAGTGCCTGCCTTGCAAGGAGGCAGTCATGAGTTCAATCCCCAGTACCGATAAAAAGGAAAGACAAAAAAATTTTTTTTAGAAAAGTACTGGGGACATAGCATAACAGCAGAGCACTTGCCTAATGTGAGTGTGGCTCCATGTTCAATCCTGAGTACAGCAAAAACAACATAAAAATCTGAAAGGACTGTGTATATAACATAGTGGTCATGTAGTTGCCTAGCATAATGAGGACCTGAGTTCACCCCCAGTGTCACAAAAAACAAACCAAGAGTGCTGTCAGGCCTAGGGCTGGTTCAAGCTTGGTGTAGGGTGTCTCCTGAATGCCAACACACAGGCCAGGCTACAGGAAGTTTAAGCACCTTGCTGACACCTGTTAGATGATGGCTTTTCAGCCTGGACCCTGGTGACATTCTGGGCTGAATCGTTTTCTGTTGTGGGGCTGCCCTCTCTGTTGTTCCATGCCTGTGGTGCGGGTCTCCAGATGAGACAACCAAAAAGCTTCCCAGACATTGCCCCTTGGTGCCCCAGTTTTGAATTTGAACCCTTTTGTGAGGTCAATGGTTGCTTGTGAAGTGTCTCAGCAATTACTTATTTCTTCCGGAAGACTCTGGCTGGTAGCATGGTATGTTTGGATCCCTGGCATTTCCAGTGTTTGTGTGGAGGGCCATTTTCTTCTGAAGTGTTGGCCCTAAGGAAAGGCTTTATTTGTGTAGTGGGACACAAACAAATACTTGCTTCATCTGCATTTTGTAGCCAGAGAAAGGAAGTAGATGCAAGGACTCCCCTGTCCTTTGTCTTGCACTGTGGAAGTGGCTGTGGGCAAGATCTGCCTCTTCTCTGGGTCTAGTTTGAAGTTAAAACTCCCTTCCTGGGGGGAATGAGATGCTTACCCTAGACATCCTGCAAAACCTCTCTAAAAGATGGAGATGATACCTGATTCCTGACCACTAGGTGTGCTTAACCTGACTTGCAGTTTGAAGTCAATCTACTGTCAGCAAAACATGTACTGCAGCCCAGCTTTCCTTGCTTGAGTTACATCGGAGGGCAGGAATGAGGTCTTGCTTCTAAGAGTGCAGGGCTTATGTTTCTGAGGGGTATATGCAGAGAGATGCAGGGATGCTTGAACCTATGGAGGCAGACTGGATAGGATGGTGGCTGTGGTCTTGCCCATTTTTGCTGCTCTCTCCCCATCAGTTCATTTAGCTGAAAACCATAAAGAGGGGGTGGCAGACTGGTTTGTAAAATGTCACCTAGTGGTTTGAATTCCGGAGAGGCTGTGGAGAGGTGGGATGGGCTCTGAGGGTCAGTAGGCCCCCAGCGGCCTCAGGAATGTTTGTTACTGGAGAAGGAATGAAGCCAGTCCCACCCTGTCATCATCATTTCTTAGAATCCCTGTTAAGAATGTCAGAGCCAAGGAGGAGAGATTGGTTGGGGCCAGGCCTGGCCTGGCCTGTGTCCACCTCCTGTAGCTCCTTTGGGAGCCCATTGCCTTTGGCAGCTGAGCCTTTCAGGGTGTGGAGGGCAGGAACGCCCGTGGCTGCCTCCTTTCTGCTGGGAAGCTGAAGGCAGAATCAGTACTTTTAGGGGACCACACCCGCAGTGGTGCATTTGCTCAGGTCCAAGAGAACAAAGGGCTCTGGACCAGGAAGGACTGAGGGACCCTACGCCCCTCTACCTCCTCCCTCAGTGGTTTGATAAGGGGACTTCATTTTATGAGGCCCTGACCTCGTCAAGGTCATCCTTAACCTGGGCAAAAATAGCACCCTAGGTTGGCAGGCAGACTGTTGTCCCTGACATCCTTGTGTTTGCCCCCAAGAGCCAAGTTCTATGTCAGATGTCAGTCATGGTTCTGAAAAAGAGGAATCCGTTAAAGAACTGGGGATCTCAACTTGTTTGTGGACTTGGGTCGACTTTCATGTTTATGCTTCAGGGATGTCAATGTGAGGACTTGTGGCACCCCTGCCTGGGCACCCTGCTGGCTGTGGCCATAGCAGGTCCTCAGGATGATACAAAGGCCAGTCATTCTCTGATGGCAGTCAAAGTGTTTTCTTGACTTATTAGGATGAGTATAATTCTAAAGACTCATTTGTTCTGGGGAATGCATAGCGTGGTTTAAAAACCTGAGTGAGTTTTGTTTCCTGTGCTGAAAGACCTTTTCAGTTGGGAGACCTCCCTTGCCAACTGGCTTTCAAATGTATCTTTATTACCCTCTTCCAGCCTGCAAATTAACATAACCCTGCTGAATTCTAATCCTTGTTCCTCTGGAGATGTTTTAGGTGTGGCTAGGGAGCTAGGCAGAGTCCCATCCCCGGCCTTGGGGTTCAGCTG